TAAATATTCTAAAGATTGATAACTTCGTGTATTTGTAATTAATTTAAACAAATAAAATTTTATATGTCATCTAACAAATTAGAAATTTGGTCACCAATACCGCAAAAACATACTCCATACTACGTAATTTATAATAATATCTATTTTTCAAGCAACACTTGAAACGTAAATGTTGCATAACTCTTAATAATATGCAACACTTTAGAGTAAGTGTTGCACAATGATATCACGTTGATGATTTGGCAACAGTTAAAAATATGTGTTGCAATATTTTAACTTTAAATGTCATATGCAACAAAAATAAAAATGTTACAAACAAAGTGTTACAAAAAGTCAAATTTGTTGTACTGTTTGGAACTAGTTAACATTTGTCCATTTGCAAGGGTGAATCGTAGACGGTGCCACACCTATTGTTTGATTGTCCATTTTCAGGAACAGTTTGGAAGGAAGTGCAAGCTTGGATTGGATTGCCTAGACAGATGTCTACCTTAGCTAGCTCGGTGAAATAGATAAAGGATCATGGGGCACGGGGATGAAGGCAGAGGCTTCTCGGATTGATGGAATCACTCCGAAGGAAAATGAAGTTATTGCAAGGATCAAGTATATTGTGTACAAAATCCTTTACAATATTTACCCGCTCGAGATGATTAATTTTTGACTTGTTTTGCTTGACCCATCACCTATTTTGTGCTTGGCTGTGGATATTTTCTAGTTCTTAGGCTCTTTTGAGGTGGTGGGTTATCCTCCATTAGGATAGCCCTTTTTTTGGTTCCCTACTTTTTATGTACATATATATGCATTCTTGGGTGATTTATATATTTACCGTTCATCCAAAAAACCCAAATGAGCTCACATTGACCCTTATTTGATTGCTATGCTAATACGGAGTAACTTCATTTTTTTGTTTTTCTCCCACGCTCATTATGTTTCGTCTTAAATTTCATTTATTATCTTACCTATACGCCTAATTTCGATATTATAAGTTTATTTGGTTCTTATACATAACCTTGAAGTACAAAATTTTGTCCATGCATATAGATCAATTAGAGTATCGCAATTGAACAATTTAAACATAAACAAAAATGAAATAATTACCTAAACCAAACAAATGCATAATTGGTACAGTATCTTCATATTTAGGAGTATCATGACACTCACCAAATAATATTTATCCATAACGGCATAACATATTAATCCATTACTTAGCTTAATCGAAGTTTAGAAGCTCGGTATAAAAGAATCAAAGACTACAACCACTCAGTGTCTCGCTGATTTGAAAAATATAGGGCTCACCATCTCGGTCTAGAGTCAGGTTTAATTTATGTGGGATTAACGATTTTTGACGAGCAAAATCTATCAACGGGTTAGTAGTTAAGTCCTATATACAAACATTTGTTGTCTGTGAATAGATAAAGTGTACGTACACATCTATTTTTTGATTATGTGCAGCCATGTTAATTTAATTTGTTCACACAGAAAATTTTATCAAAAATAAGGATGACACAATTACACAAACGATATTTTACTAATGTACAAACAATAATTCCGGCAAATCTCTAATGATTCCAACTCTAGTTGTTATCCAGTGTGACTCCAACTCCGGTGATGGTTAAATAAATAGGAAAAATTGAAAATAATAATCCCAACAATTGCCGGTCCGCTGATAATAATCTCAACTATTGATTATTTTTGTATAATCCCAACTATATGGATCGTCCGCCAATAATGGTCCGTGACCAGATATTACCTCCTATAAAAAGTGAATTTTAAATAGAAATTAAGTGTAAAAATTAAAAGTTGAGATTATTTGTAGGGATTATTTGTTATATCTCTCCTCATCCACTTTAGAAGCTACATGAATTTATTTATATAGGGACTATTATTGGCGGAAGGTTCTTAAAGTTTGGTTTATTCTGAAATAATCGATAGTTGGAATTATTATGAGCGGACCGTCAATAGTTGAAATTATTACTATCAATTTTTCCTAAATAAATAAGATCAAATATGATACAAGTTGATATGGTGAAAATGGAATGATGAAAAAGAAATATGAATACTATTAAAGGTGATGAATATGATAAATAGTGAAGATGAGAAGTGATGAATAAGTTTCAATAGTTTGCACACATACACTGCCTTCCTATTTGCACAAATATATCAAAACAAAGGGATACCATTTTGTTTTGGAGAATGTATGATAATCTTCAGTGTTGCAGTTGAAACTTCCGAAGTTGTACATAATTCCAACGCCCAGTTTGGAGCAATATAATGTGACAAAAGATTGGTTTTAATTTGGTTCAACTCACATAGTGAAACACATAGCGCGTACCAAGATTACTCCAAAAAAAAAAAAAAAATTACGGAGTGAGGGAGGACCACGTAGTACGTAGTACGAAGTATATAGAAAAAAGTGAACTTACAAGATTACTCCCCGTCGTGCAATTCAAGTTGAGTGTTTTTATAAAAAAAAAAAGGATGACACCCCATCCCTGAGGGCCCCCCATCACCGACCGGACGGCACGATGGGAGGATGTAAATTGGACTATAATCACAATCTGACAGATAGAGAGTGGGGCTCTGTCCCCGGTACTTGCAGAGGCCCTATGCATTTTTCAGCATAGTAACCCCTCATCGCAGTTGCCGGGATTCGAACCCGAGACCTAACCCTTGTGGCACTCCCTTGCTACCAGTTGAGCTACGCCCACCGGTAAGTTGAGTGTTTTTATGACTTTGTTTTTCCGCTCATGAGTCAATTTTTAATCATACACGTAACTTTTGATTTCGCATGCTGCTGAATTGTGTAATAATAAGAAAAGACTAAAGGGTCAAATAGGCCCTTGAACTAATTTAAAGTGTTCAATTAACCCCTTATATAGAAGGTTCAGCCCGGCCATCGCCAATTGGAGAGGTTGTCGGTGGATTTTTTTTATGAAAGTTTTTGAGCATCTTCTTCATTAAGTCTAGTTTACCCATATCAAATTTCAGCTAAAAATTAAATTGAGAAGACAGTCAAATGATTTTCCGAAATGTATTGCGCTGTTTAACTACGCAGTTATCTTCAAAAAATCATTTGATTGCCTTCCCGGTTGAATTTTTAGCTGAAATTTGGTATGTGTTAACTAGACTTAATGAAGAAGATGCTCAAAAAATTTCATCAAAAAATTCTTCCGGGAACCGCATAACTGGGTAAAGATATATGTTGAGATTTCAAATATGATACTAACTCCGTCCCAAATTAGTTGTCTTTTTCCAATTTGACGCGTTTATTAATTAATAAATTAGTTGAAAAGTAAAATTTGTGGTTGAGATTTGAGTAGAATAGAGTAAGATGATAAGAACCACATATTTATTGTCAAAAAAGGAAAAAAATATTCATTTTGAGACAACCCAAAAAAAGGACACCCAAAATGGAACGAAGAGAGTAACAAAGGAGTTTACTAGTAGTGTGAGACAATGCAAATACTACACTATTATCTCTATTTAGATAAGAAAAATATCACTAAATTACTTCTGAAAAAGTGATGGACAAAAATGTAACTTGTTATTAACTTTTAATACCTATAATTATATTCAAAGTAACTACAATATAGTGAAAATGATTTAAGCTTTAATTTGAGAACAATTATAGTTACTAAACGTTACTAGGCCACTTTTTATCAATGAATTACAGAGTATTTATTAGTAATATGTCAGGAAAAATTGTATAAAAAATTACAAGCATGCTGATATTTTAAATTTAATAAAACGTTGTTTTTTTTTTTGAAAGAATTTAATAAACCATTGTTGAGTACTAAAAAAACACATACAAATTAATTAAATTTTATAATGTAAAAGTACGAGTTATTTCTTATATTGTGTATATGATCATTTTACTCGGTATCATTTAATGAGTTAAATAAGGTTGTTAAAAGTAATATTAATATTAATTCTTAGAAAGCCAAAAACAGGCTAATACCTCAGCCTTTTTGGTATTTTTCCAAATAACTTCAACACATACGTGGTATTATACTACTCCCTCCGTCCCTAAATAAACTTCCAACTTTCATTTTTCGTCCGTCCCAATTAAAACTTCCACTTTCCTTTTTGGCCAGAATTTTTGGTTCACAACAATTCTTACACATTTCTTTCTCCTCTGCACAACTCTCCACCACACAATACCCACTATCTTAAACTCCGTGTCAAACCTATTTGGAAGATATAATAGGGACGGAGGGAGTATTATGCACGTAGTATTTAATATCCTGCCGTCTCGCTTAACTACTAAAATTATTAAAATAAAACTTATTTATTAAAACATGATTACAAATTACTTCAAGCATCCCATTAATATTGTCTCCTCTTTACTTTTTGATTCATCTCATTAAAATTGTCTCATACAAATTTGATAAAATTTGTGTGATTCTTAATGATTATTATTTTATCCTCAGTTAATCAATTTAATATCAATCATATAAACACTTTTCTTATTAACCAAACATGTTCTAATATTCCAATTTTAATGAAAAAAAGGTACGTAGTAATACTATAGTACAAGCGCAACTGTAAAAATTGAACATAAATTGTTACAATTATAATATCGTTATAATCACTACAATCAAGAGGTCATCATGATTTTATAAATAATTACGTAGTACTTCCTCCTATTAAAACTTTGTGAACTTTTTTTTTGTCTCATTAATTTGGTCGCTTTCACTTTAAAGTAAAAATTTATGATTCCAGTTAATTTTCTCTTTTCTATATAAATCTCAACCACACAATTTTAACTTTATTAATATTATGCCGATCACATTTGGCTAAATTTTAAAGGATGAAGAGAGTATTTTAAATACTCCGTCCATCCAACAAAGAAGTTTCCACTTTCCTTATTTGAATGTGCTCAAAATAAGTTCTCATTTCTTTAAATTGACAAGTTATCTACATTAAAACAGTACCAAACAGTGTAAAACAGTATCAAACAGTGTCAAATGGGGTACTCCATATATAAACACTTGCGAGTATACTCCGTATTTAATAAAAACATCAAAAATAACCAGCCTTCCTCAATTATTACCGGAACTGGCCGGTCCTTCTGTGCCCTCGCATCCCCATGCCTTTGCTTTCATCCCCGTCCATTCACCAGCCACCGCTTACTTTCACTACTGCAACAAACCCACAAAGGGAGAGAGGAAAAAAAGGTGAGAATCTCTCTTTTCTCTCTCTATATCTTCTCCTATATATGTAATCCTTCACCATCTCTGTCTCTCTCTACGTCGTCGGAGGTGATTGTCTGTCGGATTCCTCCCACCTGCGCTAAAAACATCACTCTTCCTCAATCCCCCCTTCTCTCTATCTCTTCATCAACTGTTGCAATTAAAAGACTGCTTTCTTTCATCTTTTCAGCTGTTTTAGCTTCTGAGAGAAAGTGATGGCTGAAGGATTTGGGGCTTATCATGTCCCACAACAAACCAGAAGGGATAAGCTCAGAGCCTTAGCTCAGAACCACCACCCCAGTGATGGGTTAGCCCCTCTTTATTACCCTCCTCCTGATTTTCTTACCTGCGCCGCCCTCCAACGCCACCAACAGCTCGGGGTTGTTTCCGATCACTTCAAGAATGATAAAGGCGCGACCTTTGACACGGGACCCGCCAATTTCCATGCCCCCAGTTTGTACATGGATCCCCAATTACACATAAATCAAGAAATGGGCAGAAACCCATTTCTCTACGCCGCACAAAACCTCCGGGTTTTCGACGGCGATTCTTTCCACGGCGGCGGAGGCGGCGGTGGGGATGTTAGTGTTGTGTATAAACGGCCTGCACCAGAGGCATTGTCAGCAGGGGGGCATGGGGGAGGGGGGTCCGGTCAAGGGTTATCTTTGACTTTGTCGTCATCACATCATCATCATCAGAATCAGCGCGGTAATCAAAGCAGTAGTAGTAGCCTGCGGCCTCTGGAGCTGAATCTGCAAGGATATGACTCCACAATGCAGACTTTGGTTTCTAGCATTCATGGAGGTGGGGGTGATAGTGACTTATCAAGGGCTACTGCACCTGCTTCTGGGGGGCCTTTCACGGGGTACGCCTCAATCTTGAAGGGCTCCAGGTTCCTGAGGCCTGCACAGCAGTTGCTGGAAGAGGTCTGTGATGTGGTCAGGGGTAGTACTGTCTTTGCAGATGATGAGGCTGCTGAGTCAGCTCTTTTGGACCATCATCAGCATCCTCCCCCTCTTCCCTGTCTGCAGCAGGTTGATGACTCTCAAAGTTGTAATGATGGAGTTGGTGAGCTCAGGAGGAAGAGTTCTAGGTTGGTTTCAATGCTTGATGAGGTAGTATACATTATTCATTCTTTATTTTGCACCTATTTTTATGTTTTATGTCTTAATTTCATGTTTATTGGCTCATTATAAAGTTAACTCATTACCTATACTAGGATTTGTAATTAGAAATTCACAACATTTGAAACTATGCAAGAAGTTATAATGTAACCCGGAAAATGAATTAGAAAATGATAGACTTATGATCTAAAATACTCCCTCCGGTTTTTAATAAACTTCACACTTTTCTTTTTGGTACGGTCTAAAATAAACTTTACACTTTCTTATTTCCTTTTTTGGCAAAGAAATCTACATCAAAACATCAAAACAGTGCGAAACAGTGCCAAACAGTGTTTCTACAGTGCCAAACAGTGTTTCTACAGTGCCAAACAGTGTTTCTACAGTGCCAAACAGTGTCTCTACAGTGCCAAACAGTGTCTCTACAGTGCCTCAACAGTGTACTCTACAGTAAAGTCAAATTTCCTTCCTTATTTTGTGTTAAGTCAAAGTGTGAAGATTAAATAAAAACCGGAGGGAGTAAGAAATTGTATGATAGTCTGGTTTTGGTTTACAAGACTTGACGATAAATCAAACAAATACAGTACATGTTCATGGTCAAATTATTTGTAGTAAATAAAAATTACATATTTAGAAACTAGATTAAAAGTTTTACATCGTCGCAAAAAGAAAAATCAAATTTGATAAAAGTTTGATACATAAAGTAAGAGATTAAGAGTGAGTTGTGTTGACCAAATGAATAAGACGCATGATCGTCAAATTCTGCCTTAATTAACAACAACATTACAACATTCAAGTCATAATGGCAAAAGAGTTTGGGGAGTGTATATATAAGACCTTTAATCATGCTAAATTCACTTGTTGCGGAATTGAACAATAGACATCATGGTTCTAAGCTACCCTTCCCAGCTAAGAATAGCGGTCACCCTTCACGCGGAAGCTGCAATTACTACCATTGTAATTAATGAAATAATCACACCCCAAATACAGAAACGTGTGAGAATGCGGCGGAGAGGTGTGAGCTCATTTCACACCCCAATTACGGAGTGATCCCGTTACCCGTGCCACTTTTCGCCGTGAGAGCAATGTTGCGCAGGATTGCACCAGGCCTGGCGCAACGTGTTCTGATTCACAATTTAAAACCCTGCTACTCTGCTAGCCGGATGAGCAATTTCATTTAGGTATATTTGACTCATTTAAGGAGCTGAATAGTTGTATACTTGTATAGACTTATTTGACATCATAATTTTTGCTTACATTCCTATGTGGTCCTTCGTTTTGCTAATTATTATGTGTACAATTGGTTGTCCGTACTAACATGCAAAGTCGAGAATATGATCTATCAGATCAGATATAAGCTTTCGCATTAGGCATATTCCATGCAAAGATAGTTGCTTATGTTTTAGGCATTATTATTGTAATGGTGTTGGATCATTAAATTTATTGAAATCGTCTTTTGAGAAAAAGGTGATCGGGAGGAATATATGCACAAAGATCGGTGTGATAAACTGTCTGACAGCGTAACAAAGTTCAAACAAGTCACGATTTCCACTAATAAAAAAGTGCTTAATATATACCCACCCTCTAATAAAAAAGTGGTTCAAAGAGTCTAGTTGACAAACATTAATTTATTCTCCGAACAACCATGGGAAGAAACGAAGAAATGATATTTAATTGTGTAATGTTACGGATATTCTAGAAAGATATTTAAATATGACATATGACATATTTTAATAGCTTGATAGTCAGTATAGTCACATGTTAACTTTTCACGAATCCAATTTGTCAATGTTTCATAGACTTTAGTAGTTTAGTTAATACTCCGTACGTAACAATTACTATTTCTCTTCTCGTGAATTGCATATAGGTAGTACGTATATCTTCGACATAGATTTTGAGCCTGATTGGTAGCACGAAAATCGACTATTTTGGCTGATTCTGCTGAAATTTACGAAGTTCTGACTGAAATAGTTGTTTTGGCTGATTCTGCTGATTTAAGGAAAAATTAATTTTTAAATATATTTTATTAATAAAATAAAAAAAAAGTTATATGTAAAAATAGTTAAAATAGTCATCTACAGTAACTTCAGTCAATACAGCCAGAAAAGTAACTTCAACCTTACTTTTTCAGCTTATTACAAAAAGTTGTGTGTTTGGTGAAAAAGTTGACTGATAAGTTTGATAAGCCGAAAAACAGTGTTGCCAAACGGCCTCTTAGGCTTCTTTGGCTGGGGGCTTTGGAGCAGTGGGTGGTATTTTGTTTTATTTATGCGAAATAACCTGGATTAGAAAGTAAAAAAATATGAATTTTTAAAAAAACGAGTACTATGTTTTTCTAAGTACTTTTTGACAATATTTTCTAATATTAATGTAATACTTGACAATATTTTCTGAGTATCACATTATTTACTCTTATTCACGGACATAGAATATATCTCTATTTTGAACTCCACATTGCTTTTATTCCGATTTACAGCAATTTCTTATAATTAATTTATTCATTAATTTATCTATAATTATTAGTTTTAGAGAGGCTATATATACTTTGTAAAGTGTATAAATTTTTATTAATTCAATTTCTCCAAGTCATCTAAATATTTAAATTTGTGAATTAATTAAAAAAGTACTCCGTCTCTTTCAGTTCTTTCCGCTCTCCCAAATATACAACTAAACCAGGTGTAGTTTGGGTCTAAACAACAAATAAACTCACCATTTTATTTTTCTATTGTTGCCCATTATTTTATTCTTATCCTTCTACAAACATAAAAGAATAGGCTGGAGACTCCTAATGCAAGATGAAATGATGTAGTTTCCATTTCATTGATAAAAGTCCTAGTAAGTATCAAATGTTTGGAAACAAGTTGCTCATGTGATATGGAAACTACACATAAGGAACAAATAAATTAGGTTATGTTTGGATCTCGAAAAATGTCAGGGAAATGAAAGAAAATGTTACCAAAAGTTATTTTCTGATGATATTTAATTTCACCTCAAAAACACTAAGGAAAAAAAGACACAGGCATATTAGGGAGTATATAAATAACATATATTCAATTTTGATAAATGATAGGTATGTAGGAGGTATAAGCAGTACTACCAACAGCTGCAAGCGGTGGTTGCCTCTTTCGAGTCGGTTGCGGGATTAAACAGTGCAGCGCCATTTGCAAACTTTGCATTGAAAGCCATGTCAAAACACTTCAGATGTTTGAAAGAGGCAATTACTGAACAGCTACACTGTGCAGACAAATCACAAGGCCATATGAATTATGGGGTAGAAGCTCCCCCAAGTGTGGAAAATATGGGGAAAAGGTTTTATTTCCAAAGCCCAACCATTCGTACTACGGGTTTGATGGAACACCCACCCGTGTGGCGTCCCCAAAGAGGGTTGCCTGAACGTGCCGTGACTGTTCTCCGAGCTTGGCTGTTTGATCATTTTTTGCACCCGTAAGTTATTTGTGCTCTAAAATTCCGTTCTAAATTTTTGTTAAATTAGAACACCAATAGAACATTGGTTACTTATTTTTCTCATTATTCCACTAAATTTAAGTGTCTAAGTGCTAACGGCCTAGCTAAAAGAGAATATTGGGTGGTCCAGCAAAAAAATCAGATATAAAGTTTTACACAAATTGATTTTACGCATATGAACAAATGAATTTTCTGAAGTTGGGTTTGTTCGGGCTCGGGTCCAGCAAAAAAATCAGATATAAAGTTTTACACAAATTGATTTTACGCATATGAACAAATGAATTTTCTGAAGTTGGGTTTGTTCGGGCTCGGGTCCCCCCCCCCCCCCCTCATGCCTATGCCAAGTGCTGCATAGTAATAATAATCTAAAGTTCTAAACCAATAATAAGGCATTCAGTTATAGTGATATAGAATTTAGACAATATTACTCGCTGTTTGTTTTTAAGATGTGCTCGAACATATAAAACGATAGTTACATTAGAATGAACTTATGGAAAATAAAACATAATTGATACCCTCGTTAAAGTAATTGATCTTGTTGCAGTTATCCCACAGATACAGATAAGCTAATGTTGGCAAAACAGACAGGCCTCTCGAGAAATCAGGTATATATGCATAGTTTGCTCCAAACTCTTGATTTCTTTGTCAAATTGCCATTTTTTCGTGGAAAACAGTCTTTTGAGGCCTATTTTGTTGGGCTATTTCCCATCTAGATATGACACATTTTTGTTTTACAACCATCTAAAATGTTAGAATAAAGTGATGAAGTAAATATGATATCCCTCTCCTTCCACCTCTAAATCTTGCAAAACAATAGGGCTATTGGGGGGGTCCGTCGGTGTGAAATTGGAATTTGGTGGACTACTTATTCAAAATAGAAAAACATGAGGAAACTTGATACGGAAACATCTTTTAATAGAAAAACAAGTGACTGTAGGATTTTTATTGAGTTTCGACCTAGTTAACGAAATGAAAACGCACACATTCGAGATAGTTTTCGTGCTTGATAAAAAATTACTTCATCTGTGTAGTCTTTTAACTTTTTTTTTTTTTTGCATTTGTTACATCAGAGCAGTAAAAATCTGTAGCCATTTTCTCATAGCAATTGATACATGTGTGATTGGGGTCAAATAATCATGAAATAGGTATCAAATTGGTTCATCAATGCAAGGGTTAGATTATGGAAGCCAATGGTGGAAGAAATTCACACTCTTGAAACTAGACAAGCGCAAAAGGATTCACAAAAGAAGGAACAAAATAACAATAATCAAAGTGAGCATTCTTCCGTCAGGAACAATTCCGTTGCCACAACATGCGAAGATCATCAGCTCCCATCAAAGCGAATGAGGGAAGAAGAAGAAAACCACAACTCATTGCAGGGAAGTGATCAAGAGGTGGCAATGGACCTCTCATCATATGGAAATATGTCACACCACTCTCGGCTGGGTATTGGCCCGACCACGACCCGCGGCGTCTCATTGACGTTGGGCCTTCACCAAAACAACGAGCTTGGTCCATCGACAGATTCTTCTTTCCCCGTGAATGCGGCTCAGCGGTTCGGTCTGGATATAGCAAGTACGGAAGGATTTGTACTGTCCGGTTTCGATGCACATAATACTCAGTTTGGAAGGGATATGATTGGATGATGACAGGTTTTGCATGGCAAATGTGTGGTTTATTTTGGTGAAAAATGACCCACTGCTTGCTGTTTTGGGTCAGCCAGCAGAAATTAAAGCAGGCTTATGAGCTATAGATTTTTCAGCTCATATACCTACCCCACCCCATAATTATGTCCATTCGGAATGATTGCTTGCTTCTACAAATTCAATTATTATTACTACCTGTATCATTGCGGTGATATTGTTTTCAGCAACAAGGGCAACGTCACAAGGCCGCCCTTGGCGAGTATGAAATGGCTACCACAAATAAACACTGACATTAAGATGAATGAACAAGTAATAAAACAATCCTTAAATTTACAAAATATGCGGAAAAAAACTACAATGTCCTTAAATTTACAAAATATGCGGAAAAAAACTACAATGGCCAATCGAATTCCTAAAAATGTGATCCCCCAATGCACAAAAGTACAAGTACTTGCCTCGAATAGGAGTAATTGTGACCGGAGATGCTTCATCAACGAATAGGAGTAAAAATGTGATCCGCCGTCACTGAATCAACATCACTGAGTCGGACTATAACGGTACCAAAAATATTTTTGAAAAAAGAATTACACAGAAATTTTTACTTTTGAAAATAAGAACATTTTTAAAATTTGGGGTCGGTCAAGCCCAGATCGGTCCTCCCTTAGGCCCTAGATCTGCCCATGTCAACAATCCATGACTTTGGATGTGAAAATATTGGAAATGAGAGAGCATCGATTTTGATCTAAAAATGTCACCATTTAGGATTTCGAAATATAATGACTTAGGGGTGAGATCAGTCCGGTCCCAGGGTAGGACTTTTGCTAAACCAGAAAATTATCCGTAAAGTCTCGCTTTATGAAAATTAGAGATTGAGACAAAACTAATTATATTCGGTTCGAGATGAGTTTTTGGTAGCCGGGCCTGTTCCGGATTCGGGTTGGGTCGGTTAAAGTCCGAACGTGAAATCATCTCATTGTTCTTTAATATTTTAAAACCTATTAAATTGATCAATAATACAAACCACAAACAATAAAACAAATATTAATGTCCAAAAATAAACAACAATTCAAATCCAAAGAAGATAATTATCTTAATATTTTGTTTAAGATGCATATCAACAAATAATATAGGTTTTCTAAAAATATTGCAAAGTAAAATTCATGGATAAAAATGTGACTAAAGGTACTATAAATATATTTACATTGTCACTACGATATACAAATTGAACATATTTAGAGTCCCTAAAAATTATGAAGTCATTTTTTATCCACCATGATTATAATCATATATGAGAAATTATTTATAAATTATATTTGTACATTATATTGATTTTATTTGATTTAGTTTTTTATCGGTCTGGGACGGGTTATAAATCTAGGGCCCGTCTATGAGCCTGAATTTTTGAGTTCGGTCTGGATTTTTTATTCGGGGCGGTTAACAAAAAAAACTCGTACCGGAAACATCATTAAGGCTAGGTCAGGATCGGTTTCCGAATTTCGGTTCAGTTTTTCATGACTTTCAGTCTAAATTAATAGAGGCATAGCTTTTCAACTGAAATTTGCACTATTAATTTTGCATGTCATCAGTATATAATATATATGGGTATGGAGTACTTCGTATATCATACGTACTACTACGTAATTTTTATCACAAGATGACACTGTTATTTTTAGAGTATACTATTTCAGAGTCCCTAAGTTACATGTAAAGTTGGTGTGATTGTTTAGAAAGGTAAGTATGTCTGATTTATTTTTTATTGAATAAATAAAACAAGAATAAAATAAAAATGATTAACAATTAAACATATATTACGTACTCCTATTAAATTTGATTTCAAATCGTCATCAATTTCAGTTAAAAGCGCAGTTATCTTCAAGAATTTATTTGAATGCCTTCCCGATTGAAGTTTTAGTTGAAATTTGGTATGAGTAAACTACACTTAATGAATAAGATGCTCAAAAAATTTCATCAAACAATTTCACGGGGACCCTCCCCAAATGGGGACGGACGGATAGAGCCTCCTATATAAGACCTCTTTTGACCTTTTTATGTAAGTTCGAGGACCTGTGTGATCTTTTTCCCTTCTATTTTTATACTACCATAGATGAAAATGTAAAATACATTATATACTTCATAGATCTTATGTGAGAACAACAATACTATTGAACTTAGCTAGATTCATAGAACTAAGCGAATATTTAAGTTAACTCATAATCAGACTAGTGGTGATCAAGAAGTGGACAGAGCAAAATTATATTTTCACTATAGAGTCTTCTATCACAAATGCTTGGCTAGGGGTGGAACGGGGGTCGGGCCGGGATCCGGACGGGCTCGGGCTTAAGAAATTCAGGCCTGGTACCGGTCCAGGTTTTTATCTGAACCGGGTCGGGCCTAAACAGTATCAGTTTGGACCGGATTTCGACACGAGACTGGGCAATATATTAAAAACGTAGTGCAATCAGGCTCGGCCGGGTCGGGCCCAAAAAAACGAGCTCGAAGCCCTCCCTTATAGACACCGGGTCGGGCCTCGGGCCGGGATCGGGCCTGAAAAGTAGCGGGTCGGGTCGGGCCTGCACAGTGCCGCGCCTGGCCTGTGTCGGGCCGACCCGCCCTAGTTCATCCCTATGCTTGGCTATACGCTATACGGGCCATATGGCTATATGCGCTTCAATTAAACTTTTAAATAAAAACTGGTTATAAGATCATAGTGGTATATTACAGAGAAATTGCCTTAAATAGGAGTAAACAAGTTTTAGTGTGCAAATCGCACAAATTTTTGGCACCAAATTAAAAATATATGTCCTCTTCTTACACTTCTCCATGTTTTTTTATATCGTAAAACAGACGGCTTTATATTAAAATCGAGAACGCATACAAGACAATCTTCAGACAGATTTCACAGATCCAATCGTGAACCCTAGGAGTAGACATAGAATCAGTCACCTCATACAAAGCAACCTGACTTGCTAAACCTGAAACGGACAAACTTAAGCCTAAAACGAACAGATCAGAAACCCTGCCTATCAAAAGAACACCGAAAATCCAAACATTCAAGTTTAGACTAAAACTAAAACTAGTACTACTAAATAGAAAATAATACTGAAATAAAATCTTTCCACAAAACTCTTCCTGGTATGGAGGTGGTTTTGAAGGAGGACGAGCTCTTATAGTATGGATGATTACAAACTCAACCACTATCGGAGCGGCCAACCAAAGCTTCATGATCTAGCACCGATACAAAATTTCAGCCGCAATCCGTTCGTCCGCCAACGTTATTTCCTCCGACATAGTTACAATCTCAATCGTTAGAACACCTAAAATCAGAATAATATGCCGCTTCAGCCTCATATTGATAGAGGCGGCGGAAAATCTCATCAACCCCTACAAAGAGGGGGTAGATTTTTAGAGAGAAGTCCGAGCTCTCCTCTCTACAATTTTCCTTCGCTGTGTTGTTATATCTTCTCTTCCTCTCCAAATTATAAAAAACACATCTATAATTTTTTCACCTTCCATGCACCTGTAATCAACTTAAATTAGAAAATAAACTACCATTAACTCTTGTTCGAGTACTGACTTATATTTACTCAATTGATTTAGTTCCATTATTTACACAAATATATACTCCGTATACTTCGTATTACACTCGCATATTCTAACGCCAACTTCACATTATTAATAAGAACATTTAAAACATTTGTATTAACAAATAATATCATATTTACAAAGTAGTCACTTGTATTCACAACGTTCATAATACGATAGTACGAGTATAATTTATACGGAATATATAATATAGCATTTCACTTTTTATAGTAAACATAAACCATTTATACCGATTGATGCACTACAGTATTATTACACATTTTCCACTACAGTATTATTACACATTTTCCGCATACTTATACGGAGTACTGAGTATTATACGGGGTACTATTATTTATAGGGGAGCTCTTCGGTGCATGCACACAATGGAATGTATTGGTGCATCATACATGTGGGTAAATCCCATTGGACGTACGTTCCACATAAGCCAACTCATAAAAAATTAAAAAATTGCAATCTGAATCCTACGAAATTAAAAATTCCTAGAAGCTCTATTCACCTTCCAGAACTCCGGCCATTCCTATCATCCCTATTTCATTTTCCATCGCTATTTTACCTGTCAGATTACAAATCCAAACGAAAATCTCCGACTGTGCATGTAAGCATCGGGTTTGTTTCAAACTGCAGGTTCACAGGCTACACTTCCAGGTTTGTTGAATTTAACCTACACCTCCAAACGTTTCAGTTTATGCAACTTTATTGCTACTCAATTGAAAATAAGATAACCTCTGTCCTGTGCTTAGTATTAACCATTAGCTGTAATTTTTTCCATATTAGAATTTTTGTGTTGGCTGTGTAGGAATGCAATTGAGATGTTAGAAGCTTAATTTTTTTCACATTAGTTCGCTATGGCAAAATTGTTTCCAACTTGGACTTTTGATGATATTATATTACTATTGTGATTGTATTTTTTTTGGTTTATGATGATATACACATCTCTCATTCCTTTAAGGATGTTAGTCATGTTACTTAGATATATCTTTTAGATTTCCACCTACTTCAATTTTTTTTAGATGGAAAAGGCTCTTCTTGGCATTGTTGTAAAGCAGAATCAAATGCAGGACCGTCTAATGAATTTGGAGGCCCCAGTTCTAAATGTAAAACTGAGGCCCCAAATTAATATATATTTGTTTATAAAAAATCTCAATCCAAATATTTATACTCAAATGAATTGAATACTATTTAAAAAGAACTAAAAGAGCAAAGGAACAACGAAAAAATCATGCATTTATATTTTTCTTCCTTATTAATTGTATTTTAGAGATCAATTTTAATATATAATATTACTCCGTACTATATAATACTAAAAGAAATTTAGAATTTTGGGGCCCCATAAATTTGGAGGCCCTGTTCTGGATAACCTATTGAACCCCCTAAAAAACGGCCCTGATCAAATGACATAGTGAACTTGTAATTCATAGGTGGTCATAGGATCTCTTCTGCTAGTATAATCTTTGAGTAACTAAAATTACAAAACAGTAAACAGATAAATCGAGGTATGGTAAGCTTCCCTTTTATTTTATATTTCTGTCTTCTCCTTAAAACTTCTTAACTTCTAAAAATCGAGCTAATTGTTCATGTTGTCTGTTCAATATCTCACTTTATTTTTCATTTCGGATTATGAAATGTATTTTTCCTCTATTTAAGTGGAATTAAATACAACAACAATGAAACTTTAATCCCAAAAGATTAAGTG